CTTACTTATTTTTGCGATTCATCTTTGTGAAAAATAAAGAACTAGGATCTATAGGAACTAGAAAGTAACTTTACGCACATGGATTTGTATAAGAAATGTAACAAAGAAGGTAGCGTTACTCGTAATAGTGTTAGGATCATATAATTATTAGTTCGGGACATATGTTAGCAATTATATGGAGAGTTATTGAGAAAGCGTTCATCGGCATCGCCTAGATGGTTGAAATGAGATAATAGAATATATGAGAGAAGGCGTAGGGACGAGAGAAAGAAGGCAGTGCATGAAAGAAAGAGAATGAATGAGAAAGGGCATACTTAAAAGACGGTGGAAGAAAAGATGGGGAAGAGAGGAGAGAGAGGGAGAGAGAGAGATTGAGAATATAAGAGATGGTGGGAACGATTCATCCTTCATTACTGAAGATTTATAACTCAACCGTTTCAACTCTACTACACTCAGAAGTGTTATACGGTGTGGGATTATGTATGGGTATAAAATAAAAGACTCGTTATAACAGTGAATCAGAACTCGTCTATCTATGCTTTTTTGCCATTCACGAACCAAACTCCTAAGCTATTTGAGAAAGTACGACGGAGCAATTATTTATATAGATTAGACAAGCGCAGGCCTGATTTCACAAAATATATATGATGTAGGATATATATATATNCTTACAGCTAATTTATGTGCAAAACTGTGTTTTGTGGTGGCCATTTTGCATTTTCAACTTTTTGGCGGGAAGATTATATCTTATGATATTTGACATGTGTTTTATTGCATTCTTGACTTCAAAAACATAGGTATAGACGCCAAGATCATGGTAATCGGGGCAATTACAGCTGATTTATGGGCAAAAACACGTTTTCTGGTGGCCATTTTTAATTTTTAATTTTTTGGCGGGAACCATTGGAGTGACATCGTGTTTCCCGCAATTTTTGAAATCACCATACTCAAAACCCCCCTAGAGCAAATTTTCATGCTTCTTTCCAGAAGTGCACACTTTAAGTGAAAAATGTCACATATCCGCCCCACTACTAAGTCTAAATCTAAATAAAAATTACTAAAAAAATCTAAATTAAAATTAAAATTAAAATTAAAATTAATATAAAAATAAAAAGATCTTAGCAATTTAGAACCTTCAAGATGGCCGTTTTTGAGGGAATTGAAAAAAAATTTCAATTGTAAGTGCAATATTTGTGAATTTTAGGGATATATTTTTATTTGGATTTTAGAGGTTTAATAACACGCACCCCCTCACAACCAGTGGCGGATCCAGAAGTGAATTCTATGGGGGGGGAATCATGCGAGCTCAAGGGCACGAAGCGCCCGAGGGGGTAGGGTGTTGGAAGGTGTGTCACCCTCCCACTGTGTGGAATTGTTAAAAAGTTGCAATCTAAAAGCAATCAATTTTGGACATCTTAATTTATCATAATATATAAGGGTTTTCCTCCATCAGGGGGGTGTCGCCCTCCTGTTTAGGGGGGGGGAGGTCCGGTATATATATGTGTCAGTGTGCGGCAGCGTGCGTGCGGTGTACATGCATGTGTGTTGCAGAGGAGCATTTGCACGGCATTTACAGGAAATTGTCGGCAATAATAGGCAAAAGAGAGTAGAGAAATATTAAGAATTTGGTAGTAAATAGATTTCGTATTTATTTAGCATTCTATTTTATTGAAACGCTCCAAACGCCTGTGTCTGAGGCAGCATTATTAAACAATCTTCATCACAATAATATCACGGTTGAGTTAAGTATTTTTATCTTTGGAGACACCAAAAACTAAAATACTTACTACTAAATGTGTGCTATATGAACATGTCCACACTGGGTTACCAGTGCAGACTTACTTAGGCTAAAATACCCTTGCCCTGGAAATTCTAGGGGGCGACCGCCCCCTGTGCCCCCCGGATCCGCCACTGACAACTACAGCACTGGAATCATCTCCCCCTGAAATTTTGATAAAACGTATATTTTACTGAGAACGCTAAAACTGTGCAAAATATATGAGAAAAACAACCAGATTTGAACCAAAAAGTGCATATTTTCACCCCTTATACAAAACCGGGAATATACTTTCGGTCGGGTCTCAGCAACCGCCCCCCCCCCACCAAAAAAAAGGGATGAAATTGCATTTTTCTCATTCAATCCCCGTGAAAATTTAATATCCCAACTCTCAATCGGTCTATTCTAATTCATCCTATATGGGGAATGCGTCAAAAATTAACCGTCTGAGTTTCAGTAAAATAATGTCATTCTTGGAACGAGTTGCAGGCAGTTTACAGTAGATGTATGTCCATTCCATGTGATTCCATTTGAATACATTAGGAGAGTATGAATAGCGATGACGAATTTGTAAATAAACGTTCAGTATTTATTGTCTGTAAAATAGTCTGGGATATATCCCCCCCCCCCGCTATCTATGCCCTGTGTATCAGAAAGATGTAAATACATGTGACATAACAGTTTTCCCATGTGTAGGGCCTAGACTTCATACATGTATCATATATAAATTATCAGAAGTCTATCAATTGATCGACTCCTGAAATTATGTATAATAATGCAGGAATAAGTATTTTTGACAAATGGGTGCGGAATATTACCGCGCGGTATCCTAAAATACTATAGGAAGTCAACATTTTGATCGTCTCTCTCTCGACCTTTTCAAGATCCTACATTCAAATGACACAACACTCGCACGATGTACCTTAATCACAACTAATCTTGTAATTTTCAATTATCTCATGTTCTGGAGTCCCTCACGTATCCGAACAACTACCCACTAGACAATTACCCACCGGACAATTACCCCCCGGACAATTACCCACCAGGACAATTTACCCACTAGGACAACTACCCCCCGGACAATTACCCACCTGGACAATTACCCACCAAGACAATTACCCACCCGGACAATTACCCACCAGGACAATTACCCCCACTCTCGGACGATTACCCTAGCCCCCCCCCACACACACCGTACAGTAATGATGATTCATTTAACAGACCAACTTCATGATTTCATAATTTCAACTTCAACATTTGCTGATACTGCCGATATTTTGACTTATTTGCGACATTTTCCGATACCCGATTTTGAAGTTCATATCGGCAAGTATCGGCCTTCACCTGCGCATCAGCAGCAGGAGCGAAGCGCAGCCACCAATGCACACGTACATGTCTAGACATTTTTTGGGTCGCTTAATACAATGAATAACATCCGGGGCGTAAATCCGTACCGAGGAGTGGGGGGATGGTCGGCGATAGCCATCACATACTAGCACGAGCACAAGCCCACGAGCGAGATCGCGCACGCACGAACATACACACACACACACACAACACACACACAGCACACCACACACCAGCACACACACACACCACACACACACACACACACATGCACACACATGCACACACAATGCCCAGACATGCACACACACTACACAACAAACGACAAACACACCACGTACATAATTCTATACATGGCATACATACATGCACGGCACATTGGCCGGTGCCAAATTCGACAAACGCGTTACGTTTGCACGGTGCCGTAGAGCCATGTAAAATTTTGAAATACTTTTAGCCAAATTTTCCTTGCATCTGACGGCATTACTGTGTGCTATCATTCTTATGCTGATGATACACTATCTCAACCCTAGAACTCAACCTACAAGTTAGGATTCAAACACTTTTCATGACTTTTTACGGTTTCATGAGCGTACACAGTTAGGTTACCTATAGTATAAGACATGGCTTATTAAACACACAGCCGTAAGAATGCATTTCTCACAATTTCACGTGTTTTTGATATTGTTTTGCAACCCATACTGGCTATTATTGTTGTTTGTCGGTCTGGTGGTTTTAAATCTCAGGGGGATATTGTGTACAGGCCATCCCCCTCCTTCAAGAGCAGGGGGGTGCATCCCATCCCGCGATTTACGACTCTGGCACACACCGGCCACAACAGTTACATAAATAACGTACATGGCCAAGAGCAAGCGATCATCTTGGCCGGATCAAACACCTTTCCGTCATTATAGGAGGGCGTAGGGGCGCTCCCCCACCCGTCCAATTATCGACCGCGGCTTGTTTCTCTGAAACCATGGCCGCGTAGGCATTTCTCTCTTCTCCGACTAATATAATATGTATTGCAGCGGACAAAAATTTACGGAAGGGGGAATTTTTCCCTTATTGGAAGGTTAGGTGGGTAATTGTCTTGGTGGGTAATTGTCCTGGTGGGTAATTGTCCTGGTGAGTAATTGTCCGGGGGGTAATTGTGCTGTAGGGTAATTGTCCTGGTGGGTAATTGTCCTGGTGGGTAATTGTCCGGGTGGGTAATCGTCCGGGTGGGTAATTGTCCTGGTGGGTAATTGTCCGGGGGGTAATTGTCCGGTGGGTAATTGTCCAGGGGGTAGTTGTCTTAGAATCGTACCTCAAATATTTATCTCATGATATTCTAAATGATATAATTGCATTCCTCACCCCAGAAAATGTATGTTTAAACACCAAGTTTGCCCTCCTAAGTGGCCTAGAAGCTGGGACATTGGCAGTTATAGGTTTTTACATAGCGGCCATCTTGGAATCCAAGATGGCCGCCTTCCTCTATCTTGGTGAAGTGGTGCACATGCCCGTGAAAACAAAAGCTATAGTACTAGAGCTAGGCAAAGACACTAACATAACCATAGCTGGTAACAGAAATCAAATTATCTTGCAATTAATGTTTTAAACCTGATCTGTTTTATTTACTATTATTTATAAAATATCATGATGTTATATAACTATATATATAGTTTATGAAAGCTTATTATTTGCTTGGTCCTTTATTACAACAACAAATCGTTGGGCTGCCATTATAGTGATTGTAATAATATATGTATTATTATATCTTTATAATTATCATATCTATGATTCAGCTTAGCTATATGCATGCACGATGTTTGCTACAACTAGTTATTAGCAACAGCCAATGACTGCCTAGTCCACACACAGCACAGCCACTGATAGCGGTACATCGTTATCTCGAACAAAATAAAACAGCTTCCTGACGCAGTATCGTACGCAATGTAGAGAGGAAGGGGGAACTGAAAGACTTGTGTGTGTGTGTGTGTGTGTGTGCGTGCGTGCGTGCGTGCGTGCGTGCGCGCGCCCGTGTGTGTCATCGACTGTCTACTAACGTACATATAGAAGTTTACCTATCACAGTTTGTCTAATAATGCACACGATTAACATATTATCGATCACCCTGTGTCATAGTAACATGTCCAAATCTATCGTCGTGCGTCTGTTGTCAGACAATGATCGTACGATACACGGTGATCAGGATGACCATTGTGGTTAGCATGGATGGACGCAGTGACCAGCTACGATTGTCGACGGTAGTCGGCTCCACTGTTGTCATACAGTGATCTTTATTTTGGCCTGAAACACGGGTGATTTCATTTCTACATGCTCATGTGAATAGTATATAAGAGGAATGAGGACGAGATAAGAAGTAAGAAACAAGTGTGCATGTGAGAGAATATGCGATAAAGTAGGCTCTTATCGATTGTGCTAGCACATTTTTTGGCATAATTTGGGAAAACGGGCACATTTTTTGCACTTTTTATAGAAGTAGCACTGCTAATATAATCGGCATATTTTTATTATTTTCAGAGCACATTACTATAGTCATGACTTGTTTTATTTCTAATATTGATTTTTTTCAAGCTTTGTTCAGCCTATGTTCATTCCGCTAGTAGTCCAGGCCCTTGTCTAGGCTAGGTAGGGGGAGCCTTGCGAAGAAAAGAAAGTGGAATCGTGGAAGCTCCACGCAGAGCAACTTCCTAATTGGTCCTCTGCAGTTAAGAAAGTGCTGCTGGTCCCACCATCTTCTGCTGCTGCAGAGAGAGTTTTCTCTATACTCTCGGCTTCGTTCAATGACCAGCAAGATAATGCACTGCCAGATTACTCACAAGCAAGTGTAATGCTGCAATGCAGCAAGTGCTAAGCGGATATTAGGAGAACGAAATAAAATGCGAATAAGCATGGTGCATTTTGAGGAAACTGACTGAGTCATCAATATAGTTTTGTGTTGTGTTTAGAGCAGTCCAGACCAGTTCAGGAGAAAGAAGGGATCATTTCAAAGCTAGAATTAACTTGCTTTCGTTAACAATAAAGCATATGATTTATATTTTTCTTGTGTTTCTTGTGAATAGCATAATCTTTAAAAAACGAGCATAATTTTTAAAAACGAGCATAATTTGACCATAATTGGGACAAAAAACGAGCACTGCTTGTAGCATAATGTGCTACTTTTACTAGCACAATCGATAAGAGCCTGCGATAAAGACGGACAGTGAGCGAGACCGAGGGCGAGAGAGAGAGAAAGAGATAGAAAGAGAAAAGGAGACAGATGACGGTTGTTAACACACTGATCGAACAGTTATCTAAATTATAATTCGTAGTGTGATATATAGCACCAATAATTTTATCACCGGAACGCCCCTAACCGGTCCCCAAAACACCCTACCTATGCACGCTGCGTAACCGAGCACGTGAGCAATCAGGTTTTGTTCGAAGGTACCATGCAGCAGATGCGCCATGGGTCCGGTAGCGTACACGGCCACGTCCTCTCCCCCGTGTGTTGCGTCCGTCAGTGGTACGGCGGACGCCTGCGTGTAGTCATTGGCATCTGCAGAAAATATCACGAAGACATTTGTATGCGATGCACGAGGCGCGCTGCTAGCCTACTATTGCTGTCACTGCTACTGGTGCTGATTCTGATGCTGCCACTGCTACTGGTGCGGCTACTGATGCTGCCACTGACACTGATACTGATACTGATACTGATACAGATACTGACACGGACACTGATACTGCCACTGCCACTGCCAAGGCCACGGTCACCGCTACTGTTACTGCTATATGCTCCACTAACCAATAGCGACGTTTGTAATATCCTCGCGGCCGTACGGTGTGGAGTAGTTCGCCGTGTATCCGGGTCCGTTTCCGTATGTGAGAATCGTGTAGGGTAGACCGTCCCTATCCGAATTCACTTCGGCAGAACCTGCGAGAACGTCTACCGCAATGAGATGTTAAACAAGGATCACGTGCGCTCCCATCCTCTCCCATTCCCTTTTCTCGCCTCCTCTCGCTTTCGTCCTCGTTCTCTCTCTCTCTCTCTCTCTCTCTCTCTCTCTCTCTCTCTCTCGTCCACTCTTTCTCTCTATCTCTCTTACTGTGCCCCTCGCTTGCTTTGTCTGTCTGTCTGCCTGTCTGTCTGTCTGTCTGTCTGTCTGCCTGTCTGTCTGCCTGTCTGTCTGTCTGTCTGTCTGTCTGC